CTCTCTCTCTCTCTCTCTCTCTCTCTCTCTCTCTCTCTCTCTCTCTCTCTCTCTCTCTGTGTGTGTGTGTGTGTGTGTGTGCCAACGTGCTGCCACCTTTAGCTTTCATTTTTCTTCAACTCCCCACACCCTCTCCGCCGCCTTCCCCTCCTGCTCTCACCACCGTTGGTCAAACGCCTGCTCTCTCTCTCTCTCTCTCTCTCTCTCTCTCTCTCTCTCTCTCTCGCGTCTGCTCCCCCTGGGGCATGAATTCACTCTCGATCGGCAACCCTTGTCCTTGTCAAGCTCTTTCCCTTCTTCCCATCATTCCTTCGTCCCGATCCCTGTCGGTCGGTATCCCTTGCCCTTCGTCCCTGTTTCCGACCCCAACCTGCTCTTTCTGAAAGACGAGGCCCTGTCCATCTTCTCCCACTACCTGATCCCCCCCTGTTGACGGGCGCCGCGCCAAAATGCCCTAATTCGCCTGGAAGGGAAGGGAGCGCGGGGGGGGGGAAAGAGGGGGGGGGCGAGCGCGAGGGGGAGGGGGTAGGGGCGGCGTCGATGATGAGAGGCATCGTCCCGATCTACGCGGACGTCGCGCCGGCCTGCGACAGATGCCACGTCGACATGTCGCCGCGCAAACGGCGCTACGTCATCAGCGCGAGTGACTGATCGAAATGCACGCCCAACATGTTTCCCCCGAATAGAACGCATGGTCATCATCGCTCCATTTGGGTCAACTTTCAGTCTAGATGCAGGCAATAATGACCGTCGGTTCTATTCGGGTGCAGAGACGGTGAGGTGGCGCCGCCAGACGAGCCATGCAGGGTTCTAAGGCGCACTCAGTCCCAGGATGAAAACGCGAGGATTATCCTCAGGCCAGGGATATTACCGCATGCACTTGGTCACAAAAGCCGCCAGATTTCGTCAAAAAAGTCCTTGTGTGAACATGCCCTTACCCACCCAAGACGGCTGGGAGGCAAGGCGGGACAGTCGGGACCCAGAAGAAGAAGAAAAAGAAGACCACCAAGAGCATTCTCTTCCCGCCGACAGTCCGAAGCAGAAGGGAGGAATCAGCAGAGAAAGCCTACCTGTACCAAGGCAAGAAGCAGCAGCAGAAGCCGCAATAGCAACGACAACGAGGAGGAGGGGAGGGAGGGAGGGAGGGAGGGAGAGGAGGAGGAGGAGGTGGTTTCGAGTAGAGGACACGACCACCTACCGTGCATTACCGCCAGCCGTCGACTACCCACCTCCTGGCTGCGTGCCTTCTCCCTCAGCACGCCTCTCTCACTACTGTACCCTCGTCGAAGTGGCTGTCACAGCCGGGCCACCTGTCCCCCGCTCCTTCCTTTCCCACTACCACCAGCCACCCTCCTAATCTCCATCTCTTCCCTCCAGTAGGCTCTTCCTCTCGCTCTTCACGCCCGTACTCTACCCTCCCAGGTCATGACGGCAGTTCATTGGGATGGCCTGACTTGCAATGAAACCCTACTGCAACCTCATCGGACAAACTGATGTCGGCTTCAACCCCCAAAAGCAAAAAAGGATAAAACAAAGATTCTCTACATCCTCCTCCCCCCCCAAAAAAAAGAAAAGAATGTCGACATCCGCTCAAACATCGCGGGGTCCATTGTTGAAACCTCGTTCATCTCGAAAGCGGGAACTAACAATAATAATAATAATAACGACTTCACCAGCTAGGCGTAGCTCAGTTGGTACACCCAGGAATTGTTGAAATCTAGACCGGGGTTCGAATCCAGACCCAATCATAGATATCATATGACCAGTCCACAATCATGCGTCTTCTTTTTTTTTTATTTTTTTTTTTAAAGGCTAATTCTTTGAAGCCCAACCAATTCAATTACCTGTCAAATCATGCGTCATATGGTCTTCAGGCCTTTTTTATTGTCATGATAGTATTACGGGGAACCCCGTAGCAGCCACATTCGTGCGCAAGCCTCCAACGAGGGAACATGCGGGAGCTGCACCCACCAGCAGGTGCGATACCTGCTACAGCAGGTGGGCGATACCGGCCAGGGGTCAGCCGGTAGCATCAGGACCGAGCTTCTTCGATGGGCCAGTCACTGTGCAGGTCAATGATGATATTTCCAAAAAATCTCCCAAGAAAAAAAACTTCCCAAAGGAGAAACGATGAAGGGCAGCTGCAAGCAACAAGGGGCTTTCCAGAAAGGACCATTTGGTCGTCGCTCCGCTACTCTCCACATGTGCAAAATGAGACTGAACATGGAAAATACAGTGTTATGTTTTGTATTTTGTATTTTGTATTTTGTACGTGTCGAGAGTAGTGGAGCGCGGACCTTTGTGTGATGTCTGGCATCAATCACTGCACGCAACCTCCAAAAAAAAAAGAGAACAAAAAAAAAAAAAAAAAGGCGCAAGGAACCTGGGGCCTCTCTAGAAGAACAATAACTCTTGGGCCTTTCTAGAAGAACAATAACTCCAAGAACGTTTTCTGAACCTTAGGCCCGGACCCCACAGCCATGCAGAAAAGCGCAGGTTGTGGCGCGGAGGGTTTTTTAAGACCCCAGAGGCCTGCCCTTTTGGTAGGGCAACGGTCCTGAGTGCTGGTCACACTGAGGTAGAATAGTGGGATAGGGGGTGCGCTAGATGTAGCTCAGTGGTTACAGCACCGGTTGGAAATAGCATTGGGGTATGAGGTTGCGGGTTCAAATCCGCAGCCTCACGCATGGACACCGGCAGGGCGTTAGAATGACGCACGGCTGGACACACACCCCTTGGGCTGGCGCATGGTAAGCTATTACAGACACTGCCTGTGCACCACCCAGGGGACTGTCCATGGTGTTGTATGTTGGGTCCTGGCCTATGAGGGGTTTACCTGATACAGTTAGCAGTCTAATGAGGATGCAGGTACGGTTTTGTGGTTAGACTGCTCATGTGTGTTGGTTACCTTAGGCTCTGCTTTGGGGGGAGCAAGGACCTGAGGTGGGATGGGGTGTGACGCTCAACCTCACGCCCTGTGCTACCTTCCGGTCGGAAAGGCAGCGATGATGGGGTGTGCCAAGGATTTTTGGAAAATTGAGTGCGGGGACACAGACGGAACTGAAATCCCCCGTGTTGGTCCAACTGTAGTAAGAAGAAGGTCCGTCGCCGCGCGGATGTTAAGGGAGGAAAAAAAAGGCGCGCGCGGGACTCGCAGCTATGGGAAACTCAATCCAAAAAATATCGCTGGACTTCCCAACGAGCCGTCGCTCTTCGTTTCGCGTGAAAGGGGGCGGGTACACACGTGGTATCCTGTTTTCGGATGAGGTCGCGTCAGCGCTCGCTACACAACTCCGAGTCCGACGTTGTCGGTGCGAATACCCTTACAAGGGTATCCGCCCTGTTTTTTTTTGCAAGGGACAAAAAGTAGGTTTGATTTAAAAGATAAGTACACCACGTGAGGCGCGGCTGAGGCTATGGTTTACGTTGACTAGATGGTTGACTAAAGTAGAGGGTGTGTGGGCGCGCAGGTTCGAGGCGCACGTGATTTTTGTTTTTTGATGACTGAAGGGCCGGTGTGATCACCGACTTGTTTTTGTTTATTTTACTGATTAAACTAGGATTAAAAAGATTATGTCTCGTTGATTGATGTGTTTGCGTGCGACTTGTGCGTACGTGCAAAAGACGACGTTGACAACAAGGTGGTCATGAAGTATTTTCAGTAGGTTCGCGCGTCGCGCATTACCCATTTATGGAAGTATCCGCTAGTACTAAGGTCAGCTTGCGCCTAGCGCTATCGGTTATGATATCGGACTTTCACCGTGTCGATTTAGGGATCGAGGTTAGCGGGCGACGACACGGGAATATTGGAGTGCCATGAGGAAGCCAACGGGTTGAGGGCCCGGCGAGGATATCCCCCTGGTTTTGTAGTCCACAAGGTTGTGCATCAGGGCTAAGACGGTATTAGTAGTCGCTTTTCTATTTGCGTTATCTTTTAGCTGAGCACGACACCGGGACCAATGGTGATCAATGCGCATGCATATCAGCGGGTGCTTAGCCTCGAGGTGGGGGTGCCTGAGTGGAGTGTGCTTTGTGAAGTGCGTGGACGCTAGCCACGACCTGCTGTGAAAGGTTGAATGTAGGCGTGCTCGTGGGGACCCAATAGACGGGGGTCGTGCCTGGGCACAGGTGGCCCAGGACACCGTCGGGCGGCCCACAGTGATACGAGATGCGGAGGTAGGTTGCATAGACACCTCTAAGGGTGTCTTGAAAGCTCTCACTTGATTATCTATTACTAATAAAAAAATTTGCCTTGGGACTTGCCTCACCTAGGCCCACGATTTGGGTTTTGCAATGGGCATGCGCCCTTGGATGATCGCTGCGTAAGGATCTCCGTGGTGGCCAAAGCACAGGCCGAGCATAGGGCGCGCTGTCAGCATCGACCACCGTCATGACAGATGAACTCGCCAGGTGAGTAGTTGCTTATTCCTTAGCGGGCCTTGGCTGTTACAACCGCCGTACAGTCGTCTATTATTATTCAACGCCCCTTGCGACGTCCGGGATTAGTGCATGGTCGAACACAGATCGGGCGCTGCAATTCCGACCGACCAACGCTGGTTGTCTTAGCAAAAGACTTGTCGTAACTCTTTGGCGGAATGCGGCTTGTATAACTGCCGTCCTGTTGTTTGTATTCAAAAATGCTCGGGTGGTGTCTGAGATAACGCTCCGTTTAAGCGCGAAGGAGGAGTGACGGGCAGTGGAGGACGGAGGCGAGGTCGGAAAGCGGAGCGCGAGAAAAGCAAGGGAGTCCAGAGGTAGTAAAAAGGAAAGATCAAGAGGAGGATGAACCGGGATGAGGAATCACGCCGGATGCACGTGCGATGAGAACGAAGGTGGGGGCAGATGGGCGGAAAGAAGATAACTCGTCCGCTTCGTGACGAAAACAGGCAAGGGAGGAGGCATTTCGGGGGGTTTTGATCATAGCGAACACGATAGCATGGTTAGTTTTGGTTATAGGCTAATGGTGTAGTCAGTATAGATGTGGGAAGCTGCGTGAAAGTGAGGGAAGAGAATGAAAAGACTGGTTGGAGTGTGTAGGAGAGTTGTCGTTCATATGTCGGTGAGATCGGGTGGAAAGAGGGTATAGATAAGGGATTTTGGGGCGGTCGACCCCAGATTTGGCGTTAGATTAGGCAGGAAGTTAGTATAAATTGAGTGAGTAGTCAGAAAGGGTGCGATGGGGATAGCGAGCAGATGGATATGGTAGAAGAAAAAACCGCCTGGCTCACCCATTCCTAGACGAGAATGGGCGAGTGAAGACTCATTCTGGGGGGGGGGTTCAGATATTGCGAAGTGATCTATGGGGTCAGATTCCTCGAGGGAGTCGCGACTTTGATGGTATATAAGTTGGGGGCTGCGCGCAGGGAAAAGCGTTGTTATGGGGTGATGTATTTCCCCGCGTTTCTGTGGAAGATTCACTCGATCCTATTCATGTTGATGGTGAAGGTAGTGTGAGGCCAATCGCGTGTGGAGGACCTATATATAGGCGAGAGAGCTCGAGCAGAAATTTCATCCATCCTTGCTCATCCCAACGATCGATGGTAGTAGCCTCTCTATCTCTCAGCGCGAATGCTAGGAAGGCAGAGTATCTTTCTATGTTCCAATAAATGATCCATTCGATTTTCTGTTTCTGAAGGCTGGAGCACTGAGGGGCGAGTCGTGAGGCTGGAAACTTACTTGATGGCTAGTGGGTACGAGCCGATTAGAAGGTAGTGCATATTTCCACATGCTGGCGGAAGATACATCCAACTTGGCTTGCTTTGAAGTACTAAGAGTGGTGTAAAGTAAAGCGTTGTTGCTGCTGTTTCTTTCGGCTGAGCACAGACTGCTGCTGCTTCTGCTGACTGTGCACTAACTGTTGTTGTTGTTTCTTTCGGCTCTGCACAGACTACTGCTGCTTCTTTTGACTGTGCACAAACTGTTGTTGTTGTTGTTTATTTCGGCTATGCACAGACTGCTGCTGCTTCTGTTGACTGTGCACAAACTGTTGTTGCTGTTTCTTTCGACTGTGCACAAAATTGTTGATGCTACGTTTGTTTGATTGTGTGCACAAACTATTGTTGTTAATCCATTTGACCGTGCACAAACTGTTATAGGTTATCGCGCGCCGTGATTAAGAACTTAAATGGCTATCATTGTGGCACCATGATTTGTCATTGTGTTTGACGGTGGCTAGCGGTATATACTATTGATCGAGGCATGGTAGTGCGTGGGTTTGAAACCGTGATCTGCAGAGCTACAGACAGACTAATGTGTTACTCGGTCTGTTGTGCGGGCGCAGCAAACAGTTGTGGAGACTGTAGGTTTACTTGATAGTAGGTGTGTTGCTCATATTCGTGCGATTTGGAGAAGCGTCAGAAGGTCAACGGTTGACGGTTGACTTCAGTTAACCAAGTT